GGCGCTTTCCTCCCCGCCGGCTTGGCGAGAGGGAGGGCCGCCGAGCACGTGCGCCCGGAGGCCAGGAGCGGAGCGGGGCGGTCGCAAGCGCGGAGCCGGGCCCCGCGTTGCCCGTCGCCCGGCGTTCTCCGAGCAGACTCGAAGCGAAAGGGGCTGGACGGGCGTTGATTCAAGCTTTGGCCAGCTCGAGGAAAGGCGCCGCTTCGGTGGGGCGGAAGAACCGGCCCGAAAGCGGCCGCGGGGACGGGACCCGCCTGGCTGCAGCGGGGCTCACTTAGCGGCAAGCCGAGCCCGGCGCGCTGTGAAAAGAAAGCAAATCACAGCTACACTTACGGGAAGATAAATGAGAAATAGAAAGAACGATTTCTTCCGTATTGTCCACAAGGGCAGGAGAGTTTCTGGAAGAAACAGGAGGGGGGAACAGGTCTCATGCCAAGTCATGGCTTATTTAAACCCTGGTTTGCTGCATACAGCATGGGTTATGAACCGGGGTGGGTTTACAGGCCATTCTGATTCACAGACAAACTCCATGGTCGTTTAGTGCAATGCACAAGCCAAAAATTACAGGCTATGGGTGATTATGAGGGGGACCACGGGCCCCCCACCCCATTTTACTCGCCCGCTAGATAATCCGAAGACATTGGCACTCAGCCAAGCACGAACTGAAGGAGAGCTGCGTTCCTACAACATGCTGAACTAGCAACTAGATCGTGACATTTTAACCAAGGATCTTGGGGTGACCGCAGGAAGTGGGTAACTTGAGTAAACAAAGGGTGTCTCAAGTTACCGTGAGTAAGCGTGATCTTGGAAATGGAGCTGAAGGGTAGCTGGAAATTCAACACCTGAAGCAGAAGGAGCTGCAGAGTTTCAATTAGTTTCCTCTATTTTTACTTCCCTTGATGTGAAACCAAGGCTGGCATTTCTGAAAGGCTGTGTGGCTTTAGCAGTTTTCCGCAGTTGCAGCCTGCAGGCCTTTGAGTCTAGAAATTACGCAGCCTTGGTGAGCCAGGAGCTTCTAATTGTCACAGCTCAATAGTTAAAATGAATAAGCCTCTGAGCCTCCCTTGATATTCCCAATTCTGGTGCAAACACCTTTGCGGTGAGCAGATCTCAAGTTCTATCATTATTTCTGCCTTAGGCAAACTAGCCAACGTGCAGCCTTTTCAGGTGGTCGAGAGAAGCCAGAAACGGGCTGAGTCAACCATGGTTTGCTATGAAGGGCTTTGTACAGCCGCTTTGTGATTCCGTAGATTTTCATTTTACCTTGTATGAATCCAGCCTTCACTGAAAAGACTTTTTGGATTTGAGTTTTAGGGGAAAACTAAGCACAATTGAGACAAAATTTTATCTATCCTCATCTTTGGGACTTAGAGCACGGTGGCCCAGTTGGTTGCATGGGCAGCTAATGTTGAAAGTTGACAACAAACACACCATACACAGATGGCTTGATGTAATCATGGTCAGTTCACACGCTTGCACAACCAAATTGAGAGTGCTACATATGAATGGGCCTTGGTGTTCTGAGAGCAGACTGGCTTGCATAATGCAAGAAGAGAGATCTGTTAGGCATTCAACCACCACCTAGATGTTGGTTAGATTAAGAAACTTAGATTCATAGTTGCTTCTAGCCATTAGACTGAACTGGAATATAAGGAAGGATCCAAAATGTAATATGTGTTGCATAATATATGCTCCCCCTATATATTGGCTGGCTCTGGCATTAAGAGTTTTCTGAGTTGCAAAGCTGGTGTTTCTGTGATCATTGCACGTTGACCCACGTTTATCCCCCTAGTTCACTCAGATGTATTTCAGTCAGCCGGGCTCATTCATAAGGGTCTATGGCAAAAGTCCTGGCCAACGGGTTATTTAATATTTTGATCATTAGAGACAGTAAGAGAAATGTAACCATGTTCGGAAATATTTTAAGCTCTCTCTCTTTGGCACAATTGGGTAAATTTGTAAGTTGGCATTATTACTGATCTCTCATGCTGGATCACTTGCTGTTACACACAAATCATGGGACTTGCACTTCCTATTCACTGCTTGTGTTTCCCTCTAAATTGTGTTGGCATATCAGTTTCTATGTAAGGGTAAGTCCTGCTTTTTGCAACAGAAAACGAGGTGGCTTCACTTCTGCATGAAAGCACTGGAGATGTTGGAGGGCAGCCACTTGCTTTTTTCCTAATCATCTCAACATAACCCCATTTTTCCCAAATGTTGTTTGTGGGACTCAGCATCCAGGCCTCCTACCATCCTTCCCTGGACCAGTCCCGCCAAAGGGCTCCTTCCCATCTTGTTTCTATGGGGTTTTTTTCTCCACAGCTTTTGTCTTTAGTGAAATACACAGTCCCCAAAGATAGGATCTCTGTCCCCAACACAGCACTCAAGGATGACAATGGGCCCACCAACTTGGTCTTGCTCTCTTTTTGTAGCTTCTTTTGATTTAAATAATAATTGGAAGCCAGCATGCTACAGAACAAAACACCTGCTCAAAGCCTAATCGGCATTTCCAGCAATGTCCTACAGACCTCCCAAAGGCATTCTTAGAAAATAGTACTGTACGGTGAGCAATAACAGCGTGGTGCCTCTCTTCCTTCTGGTATTTGATGTTTTGTGACTGATCCATGACATCCTGTCAATATTCCCAGCTCTACCTTATGTCTTGCTCCCAAAGCATCCTTCCTTCCAGCGATATTCTGTGTTTGAGGAAAACATTAACAGCACAGACTCCTCCTCAATAAGACAGAGTGAGATTGAGGAGGCAGAAACTGGTTCTCTTTAAGAATGCTAACTGTCCATAAGAAACTATGTGGAAACCTAGAATTACAGTCTGCCCACAGCTGGGGACCAAAGTGTTCCAGACAAAAAGCAATCACAAACATGCATCCATACATACTAATTATGCTGTTCCCTTGGGGGTAAGAGCAGTTATGCAAAGCATGGAAGAGAAATAATATTAACCCCAGGAAATAAGAGGCCTGAGAGAAGAAAAAGAAAAGGAAACAGAGCTAAAACGAATTTACACCATCCATTATATATTTCTGTATATTTCTATTTTTGCAAAGCACCTTGCTTCCGCCATACATCAAAAAGTTCCATACTTCAAGCCTGTCCACTTTACTATATGCTTTCTCTAAAACAAGAGACACACCATCATCTTTCAATGACTTGCTAAACTGCAGGGTCTGATCATTTGCCTGGGGGAAAGCTGCACTGCATTTCTGGCAAAAACTGTCAGGCCTCGCCCAAGGAACTCCTGGAGACCGTGCAGGTTCAATCAGCAAGGTTTG